CTATCGACCCTACTGACAATATGGTGTATAAAGTTTTTTTCAAAAACTATTATCCTTTTTGTATTGTGCCAACGTATGTGAATGTTCATTTTTGTAAAGCTTCGATAGGACCGTCAAATGTGACACTTAAATTGTAGAATCGTGGTGTTCCATTATCTAAGTTGTACATATTCTTACATCTTACCTTTTATTTTAAATTTCCTTGCAATTTTTCATATGATTAATATGTATTTTCCTTTTTCTTACAAACTATCATTATATAATCAAATTTAAAGCATATGAACTCTACTAGATGTTTTTTATTTAAAATAATTTCATGTTACGTACCATCATAATAAAATTAATTTTAAACATGTTATTCTTCTTCTCTAGATGTCTAGATATATACATAAATTATCATATGATTTGAAATACTTCTTTGTAAACCATGCTATAAGAATATTTAAGTCACACCTTAAATATTTCACAAAATTGCTACGTTATATAAAGTAGTAAATTAACCTTCCTACATTTTGAAGGCAAAATTATCGCCCATTTAAAAGGCATAATTGGGAATTAATGTGCCATTAAAATAAAATACTGGCAATATACCGTACATATTTTCCACACATATAAGATGTTAAATATGGAGAGTAATATATACCGAGTTAGATCCACCCAAATGAATACATCAAGGGTGTTAAATTTGTGAATATTTAAGGTGTGACTTAAATATTCTTATAGCATGGTTTACAAAGAAGTATTTCAAATCATATGATAATTTATGTATATATATCAATAAAATAAACGATTGTCCTGTTCTCCAAAACTTCGTGAGGACGATCAAAAGAAACACTTCACATTTCACTATCACGTTTTTACATTGTTGGGTATAATTTTTTCTTGCACCTATGTTTTTTTTCACTTGCAACTCTTCATGTGATCTATATTTTCATTTTCCCCTCAACTAGCATATCTTTATATAATTTAAAGTAACAGTGGGTGCATAATTGTTGGAGGGAAAAATCACGCCCAAAATAAGGTCATTATAGGAATTTTAATGCTGCCCAAAATAAGGCCATTATAATAGACAATATGTTATTGCCAAATCGATTTCTACTATAAAGGGATTCTCGCCACTTATTTCTAAATTAATGAATTTGTAATAATGTAACATTCCATATTTAAATGTAACAATCTTAGTGGGACTTTCCGAAAAGGTAAAATGGGACAATCTTAGTGGGATAGAGAGAGTATATTTTATTAATAAAAATAATGAAAATCTTTATATAATATAAAGTAACACTTTTTGCACCACAATTGGAGAGAAATATTCCGCCCAAAATAAACACAAAATAGGAAATTAAACAAAAAGTAATTTTGATTATTAATTGCATAAAGTGTACATATAGTATGGGCAACAATTTAGTAATTTCTATATATAACACTATTATATTTCCACTTTAGATATCCCTATTACTTCAATTGTTGCCCACACGTATCCATCATCTCTAGAGAATATGACTGATCTATCATATTTTCAGCAAATGTCTATTTTGACACGAACAAATGATGTTGTTGAGCATATCAATAAATATATGATTTCACTTATGTGTGGAGAAATGAAGACACATTTGAATTTTGATACCACATGCTCACTTCAAGGCAATATTGATGCTGGATTCGATGAGGTGCTTATTAAAAAATTTCTTGAACACCATTATGGCATCAGGGATACGAGGTATCGAACCATAATTTTGTAATATAGGTTGAGTTTCTTATTATGCTAATGAGAAGTAGTGAAAAATCTTCTAAATTATGTTTTGGAGACGAAAGTTATATCGGACAAATATGACACTTAAATTGTAGAATCGTGGTGTTCCATTATCTAAGTTGTATATATTCTTACATCTTACCTTTTATTTTAAATTTCCTTGCAATTTTTCATTTGATTAATATGTATTTTCCTTTTTCTTACAAACTATCATTATATAATCAAATTTAAAGCATATGAGCTCTACTATATGTTTTTTATTTAAAATAATTTCATGTTACATACCATCATAATAAAATTAATTTTAAACATGTTATTCTTCTTCTCTAGATGTATCCGTGCATCTCACGGGTATTACATCTAGTTTTATAATATAAAAAAACAACACGTATTATTCAAGCTTGATGAATCGGCTATAAACATTGTATAAAATACAAGGATAGTAATTAATTAGTAACCCCCATAAAACTTTGCCAAAATTAACTTGCATGTAAAATATTAAAGTAAAAATTTTGTGGTTGAAATATCAGCATGTAAAAAATATCTTTGACCACATATTCTTACTTTCAATGAAAATGGTAATTTTTTGGAATGATTATATATAATAAAGTAAAATTTTACATAGAAAGAATAGTAATTTTTAATGATAATCTGCTACAAAGAAAAGAATTTTACATTTAATTCTACTATATCTATCCATTAGAAAATTAAATAAGTATTCCAAAATTTCTTAGAAGAATTCAATCGTTATTAGATCCAAAAACTGAAATCCAGATTGTACTAATTAAGTGAAATTTAACAATCATAACAATGAACTTAATTGACCAATAAACAACAACCTTTATACCAATATATTAAACAAATAGTAGGTGAATTTATGTTACCCTACTAATAAGTTGTTGGGGAAACACGACCCCTCATCCTTTTCTAGGATCATGAGCTCAAAAGACTCTTGCACACTCACCACACACTCGTAATACAAAGGCTCAATCTGACAATGACACCTTGTATGAAACAATTGAAATGTACAAGAGAGATTTTACAAGTAAAAAGGTAGCTCACTTCACTCTTTGTATATGAGACTACTTTACTCTAACTCTCCTCTCGCAAGGAAATTCTCACTCACTCAAGAGCTCTCCTTAAGACTCTTGTCTCGCATCACTCAAGGAGGCTCTCACAAGGCTCTCACGTTCATTACTCAAGGAGACTCTCACAAGGCTCTCATGCTCATTACTCAATGAGGCTCTCACAAGGCTCTCACATAGGAATGAGAAGTGTCACTCCTATTTATACTAATCTCCTCAAGGTTCTCTTGAACTATCTATACACCACTACAGTTTTAGAGTCTTTCAAAAAGTTTTCACAAGTTTCTCAAATCTCCTGAAAGGATTTAGATAACTCCACATTTCTTTTGAGTATTCTAGAGACTTCCATACATTTCCAAATAGTTTTAAAGGATTCCACATTTTTCTAGAAAACTCTGATAGATAGTAAAAAATAATGTATAGAATATCCATCACAACAATCACTGAATAATAATAATACCCTTTTTAGTTAGTCATCATTGACTTTACAGGTCAATTGTGTTAAATTTTGATAACTTGAAAATACTGACTAAAGAGATACTTTTTCATATTTAGAAGGAGAAAAAAAATTGAGAAGAGAAGAGGGGAAAAGATTACGGTTCTTACCCTTCCCCACTTTCAAGTCTACAAACATTTCTATTACTTTATTCCTTTAGTATTCTTCCTTTAAATATTGTGTCAACATATATTATAGTAACTAAAAACATTGGAGTATATAACACAACTCAGTCATGAGCCATTATTAGTTTTTTAACATCTTAAGGTTGCCAAAAGAAATATTTAAGTTCGAAGCTCTCATAGGAAACATGAGATGGTCCTAGGGAAACCCTAGGCGGTGAGCTCGTAGACAATCTAATCTTCTGGCTTCTTCTCTCAGATTCGCAAGAGTTTTGATAATTGCGATGTTCTCAGGACAGTAATGAATCAAAAGTTTTGCTATGTTGTCTTTTTTCTTCTTCTATCTTCTAGGGATCCAGGTTTTGATCCGACATCTTCTTTGGCCGAGAGTTCTGTCCACTTCATGTGAGCGTGTGTTTTGTTCTTCTCATAGCAATGTCTAGAGGTTGTCTCTTCCTCGTCTGTATAATCGATCAGGTGGTTCATTATTCACGGTTGGCAAGACAAGTTCAACTTAATTCTTCTGAAGCTTCGGTTATTCGTCCTCCTCCTGAACCACCGCCTCACTCGAAGAAAAAGATAGCGCTCAGTGGATCTCCTTTTCAGTGATTGGTCAAACTGATGATCCGGACAATTCCTGCTCAATTCATTTTCCTTTGTTGGTTGCTGGTCAAACAAATTCTCCCTTCTGGTGGTCAGTGAAGCCAGACTTTTTAATTGTAATATTTTATTTTCTCTTTGGAGTGGCAAGAAGGGTGACAAGGTTGTTAAACTAGACTACACTACATTATTACGGAATTAGCAATCTGAAAGAATTCATTGGATCTTTTATTTTCTTGTATTTTTGCTACCTTTTAATGAGAAATTAGATATTTGATTTAAAAAACAAACAATGGAGTACATAGGAATTTAGGTTACTTTTTGTATTTAGGACCTTAGGTCACCCTCCTTGCATCATTCAATGCGCATGTATGTAGAGAAATGTAAAATCTCTCACTTGCAACACACAGACACAGAAGACTCTTGCTATCACGGGTTTAAACCAAAACCTTCCTCAACCGGCTGAACCTTTTAGGGTTTTGGAGAGCTTGCATTATTCAAGAGGAACAATACATCTCAACACTCTAATGGTAAAACCGCCAAGCCCATTTTTTTTTGAATAATTGAAAAATGAAAATATATCATTTTTTTAACCCGATAGACAAATCACCAAAATCAGTGGAGCAAATGTCGGAGAACATTTGCCGTTATTTTATTAAAAATGAGACAATTACAAAACAGAGAGGGGGACAAGGCCTATACCTCTCAAATTACACAAATGAAATTTGACAAAAGATAATTAAAAGATAGATCAAACACAATTAAATATATCTAAGAGATGGAATGTCAAAATAATCCAAAAAATATGCCTTTTTGCTCAGATCTGATAAGTAATTAACGGACTTAAGAACACTAAATTGGGTCGGCCCGGTAGCTGCGATGCAATGAGCAGCCCAATTTCTTTCTGCCATATTTGTCTGAAGACCACCTGAGTCTGAGAAGTCGGAAGAGCCCAATTTCTTCGATCGCTCTCGATGCATCCGACTCTACCACGAAATCGCTATAGCCGGAACTCCAGAGCCCATTTCGTTGCTGTGACAATAGCTTTTAGCTCCGCTTCATGACTGGAATCTGCAGACAACGGAAAACACAGAGCGAAAAGCATTTCTCCCCTCTCGTTCCTCATGATAGCTCCTCCAGCCGCTCCATCAGGTGAGAAAGCTGCATCAAAATTTAATTTAAGCTGTCCTTTAGGTTTAATCCACTTAGCAATTGCAACCTTAGGAGAACCAGGCCTGAAATTATATGGAATCAACTTTTCCTCGTAAAGAATACTGTCCACAGATCTGAATTTCAATTTCCCCAGGCTCTGAACCCAAGTTTGGGTATAAATTTTAATTTGAATGATAAGGTTGTCAGTTGTAGGGAACTAAACAACCCCCTGTCCCCAAACAATATTTGCATAAGCCTTCCAAATGTGCCAACAGATTATTCCAGGGAGATTATGTCTGAAAACATCCATCATTGTTTTGTTACCAGCCTGAAACCACCAGTTGATGAACACATTTCTAATAGAAATCATGTTAGAGATAATTGGGTTTCAAAAATGCCCATAAAATATTTCCACATATCTAAAACCTTAGGACACTGAAAGAAAGCATGGTTCGCGCTATCACTGTGTTTCCTGCATATAGGGCAGATAGAGGGAAGAATAATCCTTTGGAATTTAGATAGATTATCAGTTATAGGAATGAATCTGTGCATTACTTTCCACTTGAAAATCTTAATATTAAGCTTCTGCTGCTTGTGCCAAGTGTGTTTAAAGGAAAAGGATGATCCAGTACTCTCTCTTATTTCATTATATGCAGATTTGAGTGTGAACTCCCCCTCAGGTTCAAGCTTTCATACAATTGGCTGAGCATTCATGTCACAAAATGAAAATATATCATTTCTTGCACGGGTAGTCGTGGAGTAGTACTATGATCTTTCGCGGCCTTCATTTCTGTAAAAATGTTAGAAATGCCAAATGCGTTTTTTCTATGTATCCTCATCTGAGAAAGAATAATGGCTTTCCCTCAGCCGTTAATACATTCGTCCACAGCTGTAGAAATCCCCAGTTTTTATGGGCTTCGTATAATATCGGCAGTATCAGAAGTTCTTATTTTTCTAGAAATTATAGCTCTGGGAAGGCCACTGATGATTCCAATGAGTGGAGTGAAGACATAGTGTACTTGGATGAAACAGGCGGAGTCATCTTCTCTGGAAAAGGGATAAGGTCGGTTGAGCCCGGTCTTGATGACCATGTAATGGTGGGCGGGCTGAAGAAGCCTATTCTGAATGCATCCGCAGTGGCAAAGATAGTTGAGATTGTTAAAAGGTGGAAATGGGGTCCTGACATGGAGACCCAGTTGGATAGACTTCATTTTGTGCCGAATATGACTCAAATTACACAGGCTTTTAAGATTATGGAAGATGCTGAAGCTTCCCTAAGCTTGTTTCGATGGGCCAAGCGACAACCCTGGTATAAGCCAAGTGACGAGTGTTATATGATGCTGTTTGATAGACTGAATCATATTAGAGATTTTGATGGGATTCAATCTGTTTTTGATGATATGGTTGTCGATACAGGTGAGAATGGTACGTCTTTAATCAATGCTTACAATCAGGTCATTCAATATCTCGCAAAAGCTGAGAAGTTAGAGGTAGCATTCTGTTGTTTTATGAAAATTCAAGAATCTGGTTGCATTATAGACAGTCAGACCTACAATTCTCTTATAACCCTGTTTTTGAACAAAGGGTTGCCTCACAAGGCATTTGAGGTATACGAAAACATGCAAAATGCAAAATGTTCATTAGATGCATTTAGTTATGAGTTACTAGTACCAAGCCTAGCGAGATCTGGCCGTCTTGATGTGGCATTTAAGCTATACCAAGAGATGAAAGAAAAAAATTTCCAACCAAATTTTGGGATTTTTTCTTCACTTGTTGACACAATGGGAAAAGCTGGTAGGTTAGATACATCAATGAAAGTGTACATGGAAATGCAAGGATTTGGACTTAGACCATCCGCAGCGATGTTTGTTTCCATGATTGAGTCCTTCGTTAAGGCTGGGAAATTGGACACTGCACTAAGGCTCTGGGATGAGATGAAGAAAACAGGATTCAGACCTAATTATGGCCTGTACACAATGATGGTTGAGTCTCATGCAAAATCTGGGAAACTGGATATTGCAATGACTTTCTTTTCTGACATGGAAAGAGATGGATTTATGCCTACCCCAACCACATATTCATCTCTTATGGAGATGCTTGCTGCTTCTGGACAAGTAGATTCTGCTATGAAGCTTTATAATTCCATGACAAATGCCGGTCTAAGACCAGGACTAAGTACCTTTACAGCCTTACTGTGCACTCTGGCAAAGAAGAAGCTTGTTGATGTAGCTGCTAAGGTTTTACTTGAAATGAAGGCAATGGGATATTCAGTTGATGTAGCTGCTAGTGATGTTCTGATGGTTTACATAAAGGAAAGCTCTGTTGATCTTGCTCTTAGGTGGCTTCGCTTTATGGGCTCATCTGGGATTCGTACAAATAATTTCATCATACGTCAACTTTTTGAGTCATGTATGAGAAGTGGCTTGTATGAGTCTGCTAAGCCTCTTCTTGAAACATATGTAGGTTCTGCCGCTAAGGTTGACCTAATACTATACACCTCAATCCTGGCCCATCTGGTAAGGTGCAGTGATGAAAACAGTGAGAGGCATTTGATGTCAATCTTGAGTGTGACAAAACATAAGGCCCATGCTTTTATGTGTGGGCTCTTCACTGGCCCGGAACAGAGGCAAATGCCGGTTTTGTCCTTTGTAAGGGAGTTCTTTAAGAGTATTGACTATGAGCTGGAAGAAGGAGCTGCGAGGTACTTTGTGAATGTTCTACTAAACTATCTTGTTCTCATGGGCCAGATAAATCGGGCCCGTTGTGTGTGGAAAGTTGCGTACGAAAACAAGCTTTTTTCAAAAGCAATTGTGTTTGATCAACATATTGCATGGTCTCTTGATGTTAGGAATTTGTCTGTTGGAGCAGCTCTTGTGTCAGTGGTCCATACCCTTCACAGGTTTAGGAAAAGGATGTTGTATTACGGCGTTGTCCCTAGACGGATCAAACTAGTAACCGGGCCCACTCTGAAAATAGTGGTGGCCCAGATGCTAAGCTCAGTTGAGTCGCCTTTCGAAGTTAGTAAAGTTGTTTTGAGGGCTCCAGGGGATAGCGTCTTGGAATGGTTTAAGAAACCGATTGTCCAGCAATTTCTTTTGAATGAAATACCGTCAAGGGCTGATATTTTGATGCATAAACTCAACATACTTTTTCCCAGTTCTGCGCCTGAAATTAGATCACTGTCCCCTCCTAAACCTCTTCTAGCTGGAAAAGCTATATAGTTATTGTAGAACTGGGTTTATTATATACCAAGTGATGGATAAATGGATTATCTATATGCACATTGATTTGCGAAGTCTGCCCGTTTATACCATCAAAAGGTTTGATATGACATCCTCTTCTCTCTTTAACTAAGTTCTATAAAATGCAGTTTTGCCTCATTAGATCATGTATCTGTGCGTCCATTTTCTTATTGCCACCTGATGAAGCTTTTATACTTGGATTTTCCCAATCCATTTTGCAGTCCAAGTGTCCACCAGGACTCTTCTCTGGAATTTTATTAAAGTACTACCTCCGTCCCATAATACTTGGCCAACTTTCCTTTTTTGGCCGTCCCAAAATACTTTGCCATTTCCATTTAAAGTAACAAATATGTGGCTAAAGTTATTTCTCTCTCCTCTGCACCAATATCAACCACACAATTTTTACTTTATTAATCTACGTGCAAGTCAACATTGACTAAGTATTATGGGACGGAGGGAGTATATGATAATAGAGTTTATGTTAATTACATAGCAGGTCAACAGAATCGTTGCGTCATGCCAATACACTTGAAGGATAAAAGGAAGATCAAAATAGAATTTTGGGGGAATTTGGCTTTGGACTTTTTTTTTGGATTATATTAGACTTTGCACCCCATTTTCAGAACCATTAATGTGTGCACCCCATTTATTATAAAATTATTTGACTTTGCACATCATTCCTTCACATTTTTTGGACTGATAGGGTGCAAAACATTAATGATTTTGAAAATGGGGTGCAAAGTCCACAATAGCCCAAAAATGGGGTGAAAAGTCAACCCCCTAGATTTTTTTTGTAGTTGTGGATCTTTTTCAGCTATTGATTGTGTCTATTAACCTGATTTAAGTTTCCTCAACATGTCAAGCGGTAGGGATTTAGAAGGAAGTAGTTTTAGTGATTGGGCTCACAACTTGAGAAGGTTCTTGACTTTATACTAGGTACTTTCACTTTTGATGAAGTCAAATAATAGGACTTCAACAATAGATCACTCAATTAAATAGACCGTAAGCTTTGATGTCTTACCAAGCATTTTGTTTTTCCGGTTTTAGAATTCATACAAGTTAGAGACTTAGAGAACATCACTGGCAGAAATAAGGGATAAAGAAAACCACGCACTACTGTAAGAGTTATCCAATTATTCAGATAATTCTTAGGCATATCTCAAGAAAACGATCTGCAATTTTATTAACGATGAACAAGAATCTGGCCGAAGTCCCCAAAGAAAGAGAGTATTAGTCTCTAACTTCCAAATACAAGATAAAAGTCTAAAACCGCCTATCTTATTTCCCCCAGCCTATTCTATTTATTAGTTATTAACTAATAAACCACTAACAACTACAATTAGCCATTCAACCGCCTACAATTATTAGTTATTAACAGAATTTAACTAACAACTACTCTTCTTTATCCTTCTTCTAGAATAGACTTTTCCCTAATACTTGTCATCTTTATTTGGCTGTATTGAGTCTCTAACATAACTCCCCCTTTGAAAATCCACCTTGTCCTCAAGGTGGTAAGGATAGGAACCAAGCCTGGGACTTCAGCTTCCTCCTGGTGCCTCTCCCTTCCCAGTACCTCGCAGGTGGTGGACCGGTGGTATCAGACGTTCCCATACTTCTAGTCCTCTAGATGGAAAATTCTTGACCAGCCTTAGCATAGCATTTGCCTCTGATTTCATCCTATCTCGTGAGTGAAACTTCCCACTGAATAGCTCATACAGACAGTGTTCTAAAAGGCTTAAATAGGCGCCGCCTAGGCGGGCCTAGGCCCAAGGCATCAACTAAACGCCCTGCATCACCCAAATGCGTGAAGAAAGGCAGCCCAAAGAATCCTGGTCCTTAAATTTGACTAAGATTGAAGCCCACAGGCAGCCGCCTTCATCAATAAGGCCTACCGCTATGAAAAGTTGACCACAAGAGTTATTATTTATAGCTATGTTGGAAAGAAGAGAGCCCACTTCAACCGGTGTGGGAAATCTGCAATGCACTTTAAAGTACAAGTGCAGCCGTGCAAACTTGAAGCACAATTCAATAATTTGTTTAACTGCCTTTTCGATTGAATTTTGATCTGAAATTTGGTATGAATAAACTAGACTTGATGAGAACATGCTCAAAACATTTCATTAAAAATTCCACCAGAAACACCCTCTGATGGTGTCGTCTGCGGGGGGGGGGGGGTCCGATCAGGACGCCATGACACAATTTGAGATGATTCCCGGTGGGATGTTTTGATGATTTTTTTTTGTAAGTTATTCATCAAGTCTAGTTAATCCATATCAAATTTCAGAACCAATATCAATCGGGAAAGCAATCAAATAATTGTTTAAAGATAACTGCGTTTTATATGTATAATCCGACGTAGTTATCTTTCAAAAATCATTTGACGACCGTTCGGATTGAATGTTTTGTTCAAATTTAGTATGACTGAACTAGACTCTATTAAGAACATACACAAAAAAGTTCATCAAAAGATACCACCGGGAACCACCTCAAATTGAGGTGGCCGGACCACCCTTTTGTATGATATTATCTCATATCACATTTATATACTTACTAATAGCTCTAGAAAAATTAAAATAATGAGTAAAAATTGCCAACGCCTTTTCACGCCTAAACCCCGCCTAAACTCGCCTATGCCCCAAAGGCTTAAGACTTGGTCGTGCCGCCTTGGCACGCCTTACGCCTTTTAGAACATTGCATACAGAGCATCATCCACAATCATGTCAGACGAAAGTTTGAGAGAACTTAAGTCATACTGTATTTCTCTTTCTGAATTTAAAACTTCAGCAATCTCCAATTGTATTCCCCAATCATGAACCCAAATTAGCATTGGTTCCATTATAGTGCACACCCTGCTGTCAACTTTAAGACTAGGCTTCCTTTCTTTGCATAATGCACCCATCATCTTCATTACTTGACCATTCATCCTAACTTCTTTCACCCTTGGAATTTCTCTCCATTCCAATAATTCCTGCATCTTGCTTTGGAGAATTATCTTGGTATTAGGATCAAAAGAAACTTTACCAATAGCTTTGATGTCATCCATCGGTAAAGGCTTTAGCAATAGTGTCAGAAGATCTAGGGAACCCGTTACTAATTCTTCAAGCTGGGGTCGTGGTTTAGTCAACCTTGGCCTAACATAAGGTAAAATGTGAACAACCAAAGGTTGTATGTTACCAGGGGCCCTAATAGCTAAAGTTTGCCGGTAACTCTTTGTGGCCACCCTCTGTAATAGCCTTGGGAATGATTCATAAACCTTAGGAAGTAACAGGTTATGAGCTGTCATTGCAGAGATGTCTCCCAACAATGTATAACTCTCAAGATGCTTTAAATGGATTATGTAAACCAAGCTTGGGGTAGTCTAACATGCTCTCAACCCCTGGCTGCACTACTGCTTCTTGTACTTCTGCAATTTGCATAAATTATTCCTCAGTAAAGTAATCCAATATTGTACCATAGCCTGAAGACTTTGCCCACTTTCCTTGCTCTTTGTCATTGCTTCCTAAGCCGCTTTCTTTACCCAAAATAGTGTTATGATATGCTGACTTTGTTGGAGTGTATGTACTCACTTCGTGTTCAGGTTGTCGGGACCCAGTAGTCTTTATACCCTTGTTTAACTCACTGCAGATACTACATGTTTCAGTAGAACCATTTTTCCCTTCCTCTTCTTTTTTTTTTTTGAGTATGTTGATCCATTTACCAGTAATAGCCATATTAGGGTACTTTTCTGGTCTCATTTGTACATATCTGCCATCGTTAATAATCCGTGTGCTGTTTCCAAAGACTAGCCGATTCATCACTCATAGCCCCCAGTATGGTGTGTGTAACATCAGATTCTATCAAAGATTTGTCAGAATTTCTTTGTAACGATGCCTTCCAGTCATCCATTTCCAGTTGAAACCTTTGATCCACAGTTGTCTTGAAGGGCTTCGGTGGAAACAATGAAGTTTGTGTACTCTGAAAAACTGTTTGTGACCTAACCTGCGAACTCCAAGAATCAGGTAGTGTCTGCGAATACACCTGCGAACGACTGAGAGAAATGGCTTGCGATGACGATTTGTGAGTTTCCGTAAGCGAAGATGCCTGTGGATTGAAAGAATAGTTTGGCGATGAAGATGAAGATTCTCCTCTCACTCGGGTCTTTCTTGTACGTGAATTAATAGCCGCTGAGTCAGTCTGCGAAGGGAGAGAATCTGTTTGCGACTGAGAACAGTGAGAAGAGATTCGCGAGAGCGAACCAAGAGAAGTATTTTGCGACTCTGTATGTGAAGTGTTGAACGACTGCGACGATTTGTGTGTGTCAGATATTGGAAGGTGCCTAGTCTTCCTCGATCGTTCTCCAGGTCCTCTGCGACGCGAACCTTGCGAAGAATTTGAATGATGCGATCGACTCTTCGAACCACCTTCAAGTCTATGTTGTATTTCCGCGATGCTAACTTGCATAGCGGCCATCGTCGTCTCCATTTTATCTCGCCTTGCTGCAGTTTCTCTCAAGCTTCTCTCCACTTCCGTCATTCGTCTGTCCATCTTCACACGATTATATCTCATCCAGAGATCGTCGTGCTCTGATACCACTGTAAGAGTTATCCAATTATTCAGATAATTCTTAGGAATATCTCAAGAAAACGATCTGCAATTTTATTAACGATGAACAAGAATCTGGCTGAAGCCCCCAAAGAAAGAGAGTATTAGTCTCTAACTTCCCAATACAAGATAAAAGTCTAAAACCGCCTATCTTATTTCCCCCAGCCTATTCTATTTATAGTAAGCCATTCAACCGCCTACAATTATTAGTTATTAACACAATTTAACTAACAACTACTCTTCTTTATCCTTCTTCTAGAATAGACTTTTCCCTAATACTTGTCATCTTTATTTGGCTGTATTGAGTCTCTAACAACTACTGTGGTTCATGAGATCACAGAATTCCTTTACTTTCACCTTTTGGAGAAAATTCTCTGCTCCTTTATATGTGAAGGAATGGGTCCCTTAAGGAAGGAATTAAAGGAATTAAAAGGCCCATGAACATAGCGATGTTTGAAATTCCGAATGGTGCAGAAATGCGGTTTGTAAGGAGCGTG